CAAGAGGGGAAGGCCCTCTATGAGGTGGATTGATTCAGTGACTGGGATAATCGGGATGGGAGTGTCAGAGACAGTGCGATTGGCACAGGATAAAGCAGAGATTAGGGCTGTTGTACAAGGGGTCGCTATGAGTCGCAAGCGACTCGACGGCACATAACAACAACAACAACACAAATAGACCTATGTACAGAGCAGAGCCAGAAAGGGGCAAAACTATGTAAAATTAATAAAAATCAAAACACCTGAGGGAACGAGATACTGGTCCTAGGGCCTCAGAGTCTTGAGGGACATTAAGGTCCCGATTAACCCAGTCACTGAATGAATCCACCTCATAGAGGGCCTTCCCCTCCTGCGCTGTCCCTCCACCCTCCCAAGCATAATCCACAAAGACAGGGTTCAGCAATATATATATATATTGCATTGAAACAGATGAGGGAGCAAACTGTTTAAAAGGGATATGTGATTAGGTATTTTTGTCATGACAGGAGTCCAGAGCGAAGGCTGCATAGTAGAGTGGAACTGGGGGAGGGATTGTAAAACAATGAAAGTGTTTTACTTTTACTTTTCCAAGAGGGTAGTATACTAGGGGGGCAGGGTTGGGGGACAGAATTCACCCCAGTCAAAATAGCAAAATTTAACAGAACAGCAAGCAACAAATGCTGGCGAGGTTGTGGAGAAACTGGAACCCTGATTCACTGTTGGTGGGAGTGTAAAATGGTGCAACCCCTGTGGAAAGCAGTATGGCGCTTTCTCAAAAAGTTGCAAATAGAGATACCATTTGACCCAGCAATTCCACTACTGGGAATATACCCAGAAGAGACCATAGCTGACATCCAAGCAGATATATGCACACCCATGTTTATTGCAGCTTTGTTCACAATAGCAAGGAGTTGGAAACAACCTAAGTGCCCATCAACAAACGAATGGCTAGAGAAGCTGTGGTATATTCGCACAATGGAATACTATGCTGCATTAAAAAACAAGGAACTCATGCAATATTATTCAAAATGGTTGACTCTGGAGAACATTATGCTGAGTGAAATATCCCAGTCACAAAAGGACAAATATTACATGATGCCACTGTTGTAGAATGGGACTGTCCTTGGGGTTGGGGAGAGACTGAGTAAGATGGGTTCAATAATGTATACTGCACTGAAACAGAGGAGGGAGAAAACTGTTTAAAAGAGATATATAACTAGGTATTTCTGTCATCACAGGAAACTAGAGCGAGGGCTCCATGGTGGAGGGGACCTGGGGGAGGGTTTGTAAAACAATGAAAGAATCTTTTCTTTTACTTTTCCATAATTTTTGGACTCATGTACTTATAACTTGTTAGTCAAATTTGTGTCTTCTAGGTTGCAACACCCCCATGATACATCTTCAAGGATATGAACATGTACGGCCAAGCACAATCAATAAGAGTGCATCTAAATTCCAAAATCAATCTCCATAATAGTCTATGTGTTTCCTACTGCCAAAGGGGCCCTTTAGAGTAGTGAGAGAAGATCTTCACCCTGAAACCCACAGCGTCCCTTTTCAGCAGGAAGTAGCTAAGAGAATACGCCATCCCCTTTTCCTTATGACTCAGGGTGAAGTCTCTCTCAGGGAGGAGTGATAGGGAATGGCAAAGGACACACTGACAAAGAAGATTAATCAGAACTGGCTTTGACAAGCACTGTGGCATTTGGACAAGAACAAACTGGGAGGAGGGTAGAGAGAATAGTGCAACAATGAATGAGTGGAAGCCCAAAATCTCTGTAAATGTTTATGAAAATTAATAAAATATAATTATAGAAAAAAAAAGAAAAGTGCAACAATGAATGATTGGAAATCCAAAGTCTCTGTAAATTTTCATTGAAATTAATAATAAATTTAAAAAATTTTTTTAAATAATCCACAAAGACAGTGTTCTACATGTTACTTTGGGAAGAAGCAACTGGGGTCTCAAAAGCTATCTAATGTGAAACTACTGGGTTTTGTTAGAACAGAGAACAAGAGATGAAAAGCAAAGATGGTTTGGTTTTTGTTTGGAACAGAGAAAAGCAAAGAATGATGGCTTAGTTTTGGTTTGGAACAGAGAAAGAGGAAACTCAAAGATGTACTGAAAAGATGAGTTCAAAGCACTAATGAACTATGAGAACCTCAACTCTCATGCCTCTGAGATCAGATGATCAAGATGGTGCCCGTCTACTGCTGCTGACCACTTTCAAAGGGATCGCAACAGAAGAACCTGTGGAAAGGAGGGGGGAAATCTGGAACAAAGCTCAAAAGCCATAAAAAAGCCAGGCTTACTAATCGAAGAGAGACACCTGAGACTTGGTCTCAATTAAACCTGGAACAAAACTCACCTCCTTTTGTGTTAGCAGAATAACTCACTATGGACTGTGTGCCACTAGACATCCCTTTTACTATTACATACAATTAATTAAGTAAATTCTAATCAACCCCTTATGTGTATTGCCTTTTCCTTAATTATTTCTTTTCACTCCTCTGTCCCTGTCTTTTTTTTTAAAAAAAAATTATTTTATGTTAATGTTGCTGTGTACCATAGAGTTGAAATCGACCCATAGCTAAGATTCCAGTAAACTGCTCAGGAGGAAAGGCCAACTTTCTTCCAGCCACTAGGCCACCAGAACTCCTCTCCCTATGTCTTTTTTTTTTAATAATTTTAATGAATTTGGATTTCCATTCATTCATTGCTGCACTTCTCTACCTGCCCAGTCCTCTCCCCCCCTCCCTATGTCTAACCCTCCTTAATACTCTAAGATTGATTCTATCTCCGGATAAACCTTACTTTATCCTTTCATAATAGTGTCCTAATACCATCAATGCCCTTTTGTGATCAACTTCAATAAACAACTTGGCAGAATTTGTTCTAGAGCCAATCACGTTTCAGTGTTCAGTGAACGCATAATCCTTTTTAAGTGATACATAGTACTCCGTGGCATGAAAGTACCCGTTTCTTTAACCATTCACTTGCTGGACACTTGGGGTGTTTCCAACCCTTTTCTAAATAATGCTGCAATAAACACAGGTGTGTGCATGTTAGTTTGTGTATCGGACCTTATTTCTTGGGGATATACTCCTAGTAGTGGGATTGCTGGATCAAATGGTATCTCTAGTCTCAGCTTTCTCAAGAAGCTGACTGCCACCATCTTTCTTTTGCAGAGCTGGTGAGACCTTCTGTTTAGCAGCCAAATTCTCTAGTTCTTGTTGTTTTGCGTTGTTAGGTGCCAGCAAATTAAGTACAATCACAGCAACCCTATGAACAACAGATCTGAACCCTACCTTTCCTAACCCACGACATCCTCATCATCTCTGACACTTGAATCCATTGCTGCAGTCACTGTTGCGGGTCTCCCTCTCTTTCACTGACGTTTCCTAGCATAATGTCTCTTTTCAAAGAATAGCCTCCCCTAACAACATGCCCAAAGTATGTGAAATGAAGCTTCCTCATTCTGGTCTCTAAGGAACTTTCTCCAAGAGCTATCTGGGAGGGCTCAAGAATTAGCAACTAATAAAGGATTGATGGAATTATGCACCAGGGCCAAATTAAATTTAATCCCCTGATAAAAGAAAATGAACGCAGAGCCCAGTAATAACTTCTCCATCAGATGCCAGTGCAACCTCATTTCCAAACGCAGAAACGGAGCTGGAAGGTGTAAGGCCATTGAGCAAGGTAGGTAAGCTGCAAGACTATTAAGCCAATTCAAGTTGATGTGACCAAGGATCTGGGTCCTGTTCCTCTGCAGGACACACTTGATTTGGACAGCACAGCTAAGCCCTTGGAGGTTTAGGAGCAAGGGTGTGGCCAGATAAGAAAGTGATCTGCTAAAGGTCGGACAGGGTGTGTCCTAAGAGAAGAGGGACATTATCCACTCTCTCGGATGATGTGGCCAGAAAAAGATTTTACCCGCGCAGGTTTTAGGTGGCATAACCCTACCCAGCCATCCCAACAAGTGGAAATCTGCTCAGTTAAGCTGGGTTAAACGCGGAGGCGGGGACCTCTGTCCCAAGAATTGAATGGCTCAGTTCGGTGGACAAATTTAAGGTGTAGTCTCAAAGACGCCAAGAGTAAAGATGCAGCTGAGTTAGATGAACCACGAGGTTCTCCCACAGCCAATTAACCACGAGGGCACACAAGCATGGGGGGGATTGGGGGGGGTGTCTTGTTCCATTTTGTGGCAAATTAGTTAAGCGTGTCCTTCAGGGAGGGTCAGAATGCCTTCCCACTCTTCCCCACTGCCTGGGGGCTGGTCAGTCCTCTAGCAATTCTGGCCCGCTGGTCCCCTTTTCTTTCACTAAGCTGGTCCTCCCGGCCCCCAGGCGACAACTCCCTGCCCTGCCTCTGAGCGCTAGGCGCTGACCCTTCTTCCCACCTGCGGAGTCTGCGTCCACCTTGGGAAGGCGCCCCGGTGGGGCTGTGGTTCAAGTTTCGGCTGTTCACCAACAGGTCTTCTTCTGCCCTGGCCTATGGGGTCGCTATGCGGCGCAATGTATTAAAAGGCAGATCTGATGGGTCATCTTCCCGAGGAGACGGGAGCCTGCCTCCCACCCATGCCGTGCCTGCCGCGGGGACGCGCCCGCTGGCCGCGATCGGGGACCAGAGCGTCCCCGGCTGCCTGCGTTCCGGGCGCCGCCCGGCCTCTGCCCGCCCGCCGGCCTCTCCCGCGGTGCGGGGTGGGGGACGTGCTACCCCGAAGCCACGCGGCGAGGAAGCCGGCACGGATCCCCGGGCACCGCAGCGCACTCACTCACCGTGTCCGCGCGGCCCCGGCGCCCCCACTTCCGCCGGCGCCGCCGCTGCAGAGGCCCGGGCGGGCCGCGAGCCGCCGAGCCTGGGTTCCGCCCTCAGCGCCGCCGCCCCACGTGGTGGCCAGCGGGCTCGCAGGCTCGGAAGCGAGCGCCGAGCCAGGAGGCTGGGGCTCTGCCGGCTTGGCTTTCCTTCGAGCCGCCAGCTGCCCGCACAAGCGCCCGAAATGGCCATTTTATGGTCGAAGAAACTGAGACCGAGAGAAGAATTCTCCCTTTCGGTTTGTTTTAGGTCTCTGGACAATGCAACCCCAATACCTAAAGCTATGAACACCTACCTACGCACACTTCTAGTCCGAATCTCTCTCTCCCCCACTGGAAACTGTTGTTGTTATGTGGCGTCGAGTCGCCTGCGACTCATAGCGACCCTATGTACAACAGCCCTAAACTCCGCTCTGTCCTGTGCCAACCGCACCGTCTCTGACACTCCCATCCCAATTACCCCAGTCACTGAATCAATCCACCTCATAGAGGGCCTTCCTCTCGTGCGCCGTCCCTCCACCCTCCCAAGCATGATGTCCCTCTCCAAGGACCGGTCTCTCCTCACAACATGTCCAAAGTATGTTAGACGGAGCCTCAGAATCCTTGCCTCCAAGAGCCACCCGGTTTAACCCTTTCCAGGACAAATCTGTTTGTTTTCCTAGCAGTCCATGGTATTCTCTATACTCTTCTCCACTGGAAACTAGGGGTGACAAAAACTTGCAGTGGTTTAGCAGAAGAGATCATTTTGCCCTGCAGCCCCATTTTACAAAAGGGTAAACACAGGCACATCTCATACAATAAATGGCTAGCCTGCGGTGCGGTGGGAATTCACTGCTTCTAGCTTGGACACACCTTGCTTTGTCCGCACTGAGTTCCACGCAGACAGGGTGTGAACAAGACAGTTGAGACACTGCCCTGCCCGGATCAGCAACGTACATTCTAGAGGGTCTGTGCAATTAGAACCAAAGCGAGTCTGCATCCCCGGTAGGGAAGGCAAAGACGAACTTCTTGTTTGTTGTTATGTGCCCGTCGAGTCACTTGAGACTCATAGCGACCCTATGAACTCTATCCTGTGTCAATCTCATTGTCTCTGACACACCTATCCTTATTACCCCAGTCACTGAGTCAATCCATCTCATCTAGGGTCTTCCTCTCTTGTGCTGTTCCCCCACCCCACCCTTCCAAGCATGGTGTCTCTCTCCAGAGACTGGTCCCTTCTTGCACATGCCCAAAGTATGGCCAATGAAGCTTCAGAATCCTTGCCTCTAAGGAGCAGCTCTAAACCAGCAAATATCTCGAAAGGCTCTCCAGAGTGTAGGAACAGATGTGAGAAATGGGAAACAAGAATGGTGGTAGGGGAGCTCTGGTGGCCTAGTGGCAAGGAACTGCAACTACAATCCCAGAGGCGCACTGTTCGAATCCACCAGATGCTCCGCCGGGGAATCTGATTTGACGGTACACTCACACAAAAATAATAAAATGAAAAAAAGAAGAATGGTGGTGAGAAATGGGAAACAAGAATGGTGGATTAAGAGAATTGGCAGTATCCGCTGAGTTTGATTGGTTTAGAGGAGAGTGGCAGAGATAGTGGAGAAAGAAAAGCCACTTAAGGTGACCCCGCTGCCCCCACACCTAATTCCAGACTTCTTTGTTATATGGAAAACTGAGACCCAGGAAAGAAAAACTAGGGGAAGGTAGAGGTCATCCAGTGTAAAAGGAGGCCTAAAGCAGGGCGGAGCTCTTAGATACTGTGGTCAGAGAAGACCAGGGCTCTTCGGAGGACAATTGAGGAGAGACCTGAATAACAATGTGAGGAACACCCGCCCGGCCTGGAGCCCCACTCTTCCGGGAGATCAGCATGTGAAATGCCAGATCCTCCAGACCTGAGGCTGGGGACACCTGGGGCAGGACAGAGCCTGGTCCTGACCTCAGGGGCCTTAGGTGCTGGGGGGGGGGGAGGGTGTTGGGAGAGCAATCAACGACAGGATGATAGGATTGTCCTATGGGACTGAGCAGGATATGGGGAGGACTGCAAACTGTGATGGAAAAGGGCCGTTTTGTGAAAAAAAAAATAACTGAGGAAGCTGGAAAGGAGAGAGGTTAAAACTTTTTGAGTTCAAATTTAGCAGTGGAAACAATCCCTATCATTAACTTAGTCCGCCTAAGTCTTCCCCCCAAAAAATCACACTGCTACCCAGTTCACTGCACCCTATAGAAACCCTACAGGATAGAATACAACACAGCCCATAGTTTCTAAGACTGAAAATCTTATGGGATCTTTGTTCATCTTTTCTCCCATGGAGCTGCATATTGGTTCATTCCTGTCATAGACATCTAGGTTACCAGCAAGAGTTTTTAACCAAGATGCCATCAAGGCTCTTTCCTGTCTTTTTAAAATGTCCTCCTGATCTGTCCCCACTGAGCTTGGTCACTCCCTTGAGATCCCTCTGTCTCTTGTCATTCCTGTATACACAAGCCCTTGGCTGGCCCTTCCCTTCCTCAGAGCATACCTTTTCACCTAAAGGAGAATGAAGGCCTCCCTCTGCTTCATTTTTCTCCTTGGCACATCACGAAAAGCACTTTATATTTCATATATTCCTTGTTGGAGTATAGAAGCAACATGAACGTGCTGTTTTCGAGTGCATCCCTCCATGATGACCCTCCTTTGCCTTCTGAGGCTGGACATCTTTACTGAAAGCTGGCTGCTCCGGGAGTGGGGGGTGGGTTTAAAACCTCCAGCCTCTGTTAGCAGTTGGACAATTAATCCACTAACCCATAAACACTAAAACAAAGATTTTGTCTGTTTTGTTCACTGCTGACCCCTGAGTAAAGAGCCCTGGAGGGATAATTAAATACTGGGGTGCTACCTAAAAGCTGGTGGCTCGAATCCACTCAATGAGTCAGAAGGGGCAGCCTGCTTCTGTAAAGATTATAGCACCGGAAATTCCAAGGATTAGGTTGCTCTGAGTCAGAATCAACTGGACAGGAGTGGGTTCAGGTTCTTTTGGGGGTTCTAGTCCCCATTCCTATGCTTAGAAAGGGAGCCCTGGCGCACCTTAGGCATTTAAACCAATGTTCGCTACATGAATTTTGCTTGTAAGGTATTTTAGTCCAGTTTGCGGTTTAGGCGCTACCATTTTCTCGCGGGGGTATGTGTCTCAGTTTCTCTAGGAGCAAGATGGGAGGGACTACGAGTCTCCAAGCTTAAAGGTGGCCTAAATTAGGTGTGATGGGATCTGGCCACCCCAGCAGGGGCGGCCGGTAATGCGTAGATTAGGTTACCCGGCCGCCCCGCCCTGAGCACGCCACACACCGCCCCTCGAGGGGCGGAGTCACGCCGAGGCCAGCACGTGTAAAAGTCCGCGGCGGTTCTCCGCAGTCACTCACCTGAACCCAGAGAGCACTGGTCGCGCTTCCTCCGCTCTCCCGCTCGTCCGCCCGCTCTCCTGCTTGTCCGCCCGCCCGCTCGCCCGCTCGCCCGCTCGCCCGCTCGCCCGCCCGCCCGCCCTCTCGCCCGCTCGCCCGCCCGCTCTCCCTGCGACTCATGTCCCGCCGCAAAGCCGGCAGCGCACCTCGCCGAATCGACTTCGTTCCTGCCGCCGACTCAGACGACGAGATGGATCTCGTCATCCAGACCGAACCAGACGCGGAGCCCTCAGACTACGAGGTGGACCTCGTCATCAAGACCGAGCCAGACGCGGAGCCCTCGCCGGGGCTTTTAAGGGACGAGCTTCGCCACTCTCCCAGCCCCGCGCTCGACCACTTGGCCGTGTGGACGCCTCTGGCCCCTGTCGGTGAGTTCCCGGGCCCGCAGCCCCAGCCTTCATTGCTTTGACGCTCGCGCGGGGGTGGGGGTTGGACCACCTGCACTGGCTGCAGACCCCAGGTCTTTCTCTGGCTACCTCGGCGGCCCCTTTCTGACCCCTGGGCTTCCCCTCTCCCTCGCCACCCTGGTCCCCCATTGTGGCCCCGCCTCGCGCTCACCACCCGCTTCCTCCCTGCAGACCGCCAGCCTTGGACCGACACACACCCAGATCTGTTGACCTGCGGCCGCTGCCAGCAGACCTTCCCTTTGGAGGCCATCCTTGCCTTCGTGGACCACAAGAAGCAAGGCTGTCAGCTCTTCCAGGGCCCCAAGTCCTGTTTGGACTCAGGTGAGTACCGCGGGCGCGCCGTTCTCTTTTCTCAAGTTCAAGGGGCTGGGCTTCCTGCAGAAGCGCGGTGGAGCTGGACAGACAGGGCAGCGAGCGCGACTTCCCCTTTCAGGCGCCCCTTGGGGTGTAGCTTAGGCGTGGCCAGGGCCTGCCCCATCCTAGCCGGGACCTGTGGTAGTGGAGGCGGGGGGCCGGCCAGGAGGGGAGAGCGGCCCACAGGGTGTGGCTAGCTCCAGAAGACTGGCCTGGGGCGGGGGGTGCCCACACGCACCCTCCCCACCAATGTGGTTTCACTTCTCCTTCCCCTGGGCCAGAAATAACTGGCCAGGTGGCTGGACCAGGGTGGCAGTAAGGAGGACCCCTCTAGGGGTGGAGGGCCGTGGCCATGGCCTGGAGGAGGGGCATCCCAGACCAGCTGGAAGGCAAAGTGGCCGCCCCTTCCTACTGATTGCCCATTTCTGGTGCCATCTGCTGAGAACCGGCTGGGGGCTTCTGTCCTCTAGTTCTGATGGAATGTCCCAGGCCTGGGCCCCTGGGAAGCCCCTGGTTTGAGCCAGGCTCTGAGTGTCTGGATACCTGGGTTCCTTCTCAAGCAGGGAATGAAAAGCACATTGTGGCTTGTGGGGCTCATCTTGGGGCCTGTGTCCTGGAGTTTTTGAGAAATTGAGTCACACTGAGCTAGTCATAGGGTGGGAGGAGGAGGAAGGGCTGTGACCTCGGGAACCACAGGTGGGCAGGATCAAGGTATATGGGATTATTGGACAAACACCCTCAGGCAATAGTCACCCTGGGGCTGTGAATTTAGCCAGTGTTTACTGAGGCTTATAGATCTAAATCCTCATGCTCTCTGGCAGTTGAGGAAACTGAGGCTCAGAGATCCCGGTGCCTTAGCCTGGATGCTGTATAGTTAGAAGGGGATTCCATCCCAGGCCTGGCTAAGGCTTGCCAGTGTTGACCCTGGTGTTGCAAGGCCTAAGGCCACCCTATCTGAGACTGTTTGGGACATGTGTATCGTGGGACCCTGAACCAACGTCGTGCTGCTGGGAGGATCCAGGCTGGAGTGGAGCGGAGTGGATGGAGCCTTGTCTCCAACCCTGCCGCAGCCCCTCTCCTCTGTAAATGGGGCTAATGAGATTATGAAGGATCCTAACCTTGGCACTTGGCCTAGAGAGACAGCTCAGTAAGGGAGAGCCGCTGGGTGGTGCGTTGGTTAGGCACTTGGCTGAGGCTTCCTCTGTGGCCTCACTCAAGTGTGGACAGACTGGCACTTTCTCTCCCATACAGCTGTAAGCACTGCACCACCAGAGCTCCAGCCTTAGGCTGCAACCTACAAAAGTCTGTAAGGCAGCTCTACTCTACCCAGTAAGACTACCACGCATTGGGATCCAGGATGGAAGTTGTTATTGGAGAAGGGAGAGTTTTTTGGTGTTCAAGCTTTCCTTTTTCTGGATTGAAATCTCAAGTCACTCTGTGCCTCAGTTTCTCCACCTGGAAGAATACAAGTCTTGTTCCCAAGAATGGATGTCAGAAGGGGCACCCTCCCTCCCTGCCCCTTTCTTGGCCAGGGTCAACTCTACAGAACCCCTGGCCCCACTCCACAGCTGGCTGTCCTGGGTTCGAGCCCAGCCCTCCGCACACCAGCTTTGCAGTACGGTCCAGTAGGCAGTTGTCACCTCCCACAGTGATGAAAGCGTAAGTTCTCTTACCCCCCTGCCCTCTTTTCTTTTCCAGAACGCAAAGACTTCAAGTCTCTGAGCTGCCTCCGCTGTGGCCGACAGTTTTCAGTGGCCTGGAAACTGCTGCGCCACGTCCAGTGGGACCATGGGCTGTCCATCTACCAGACAGAGTCTGAGACCCCTGAGAGCCAGCTGCAGAAGTTGTCAGAGGTGGCTGCGGCCGTGTCCCCTGTGGTGCAGCCAGAGGTTGAATCCAAAGGTCCCCGTGTGAGCAGCCGGGGCAGCCCCACCTGCTCCGTGTGCAAGAAGACCCTCAGCTCCTTCAGCAACCTCAAGGTGCACATGCGCTCCCACACGGGTGAGCGGCCCTACGCCTGTGACCAGTGCTCCTACTCCTGTACCCAGAGCAGCAAACTCAACCGCCACAAAAAGGTCCACCGGCATCCTCAGAGCCCCTGTAACGCTGACTCTGGCCAGGAGCAGGCCTCTGCGGCAAGCCCAGAGCCAGCTACCCAATCCACTGCTCAAACTGTAACCACTGCCTGCGCCAACAATGACCAGGAGCAGGCCTCCGCGGCAAGCCCAGAGCCAGCTGCCCAATCCACTGCTCAAACTGTAACCACTGCCTGCGCCAACAATGACCAGGAGCAGGCCTCCGCGGCAAGCCCAGAGCCAGCTGCCCAATCCACTGCTCAAACTGTAACCACTGCCTGCGCCAACGCTGACCAGGAGCAGGCCTCCGCGGCAAGCCCAGAGCCAGCTGCCCAATCCACTGCTCAAACTGTAACCACTGCCTGCGCCAACGCTGACCAGGAGCAGGCCTCCGCGGCAAGCCCAGAGCTGGCTGCCCAAGACACTGCCCATGCTGCAGCCACTGCCCAAACTGTAGACGCTGGCCAGCACCCAGCTGCCCACACCACTGCCCTGGCCAGCACCCTCCAGTGCAATGTTGTGAATGGGGCTGCCGGAGTCAATGCCACCATCATAGCCATAGCCCAGATGCAGCAGCCTGGGGCACCTGGCGAGGGTGTTGCCACCAAAGAAGAGCCAGCCTGCCCTCCAAAGGTTCTGAAGGCTCTGTCTAAGAAGTTGCAGAGCAATAGCCGCGTGTCTGGGGGCAGCTGTGAGTTCTGCGGGAAGCACTTCACCAACACCAGCAACCTGACTGTGCACCGGCGCTCGCACACTGGCGAGCGGCCGTACACCTGCGAGTTCTGCTCCTACTCCTGTGCGCAGAGCAGCAAGCTCAACCGCCACCGCCGCATGCATAGCCTGGGGCCCGACGGCACCTTCTTCCAGTGCCCCCACTGCTGCGTGCCCTTCGGCCTGCGCGCGACCTTTGACAAGCACCTGCGACAGAAGCACCCCGAGGCGGGAGGGGGTGCCTGAGGGCCTCTGTAGTCTGCTGATGACCACCTTGTTCTTCCCCTGTTCTGAATAAAAGTTCCCTCCATTTTCATTGCTCGTCTGGACTCTTTTCTTGGGGTGTCTGAGGTGGGGCAGGAGGCTCCCCTCCTTGGGTGGACGGCTGGACAGACCGGTTTGGGGTGAGGGGAAAGGCCAGCCCCGAGTGCCCGGGGCACAGCAGGACTGGCACGGAAAGCCGCGCTCCCGGTTCCCGGTGTGGGTGAGGCCAAGGCAGGGGCCGAGCGAGGGCGGGGAGCAGTCTGGACCTGTCACCAGCGGCCCCTGGGTGAGGAGTCCCTGCCCAGCCTGTGCTGGGCGCAGGCCGGCACCCCATCCACATCTGCAGGCAGGTACGGGCCTTTCCACAGCCCCATGGCGCCCATGCCGCCGCCTAAAGCAGGCCTGGGACCTACATGGCTCGTGGCCTTGCACCATCACAGGGCTGCTTCCTCCTGGTGACGGTCCTGCTGGCCGGCCACGGTGGTGTCCGCCCTTAAACCCTGCCAGGTCTCAACCAGGCTGCCCTGACCCGACCACAGATCACGCTCAGACCAGGTGAAGGAAATTAAATAACGTTGTTTTATTCCACCGGAGATTTAAAATCCAAGAGCACTGCAGCTTGAACCCTACCCGCCCCCTCTTCTGCCTAATGGCGGTAATGAGGACTTCGTGAGCGGGACCGTGAACGCCTGGGAAGAGAGAGGACCCGTGAGGATGATCGGGAATGGAGGTGCCAACAAGCCCAGGGAATTAGGGGGCTGCAAGGTTGCTGTGGAGGCTCACTTCTGGCCCTGCCACTGGAGGACAGCGCTGATTTTCTGAAGAGGGTCTCTGGGGAGCTTACCTTCGAGAGGAGCTGTATTCCCGACCTGTGAAGAAAGAAGGGTGAAGATGGTTGGGGTCACTCCCCCCGGGGGGCCATTTTCACTGACAATGGATGGACAGGGCCCGGGGAAGCCGTAGCCTGTCCCTGCCCACACTACCCGGGGAACAGGGAGTGTTCTACACTCTCCTCCACACGAGGAACGGTGCCGCCTGTTGGCACCGCCCTTACAACCCTGCAAAAGCTGTACCTCTAGAAGCTTCCCCGTGTAGATAGTGCACAAGGACATGGAGCCCGACCCCGGTCTGTACTTCTGTCACTTTCCTAGCAGGGGGAACCCCCAGGACTGGAGGATACTCACTGTAGCGAGGGGAGGGTGAGCGGCTCTGCCGGCTGTACTGCCGCTCCCACTCTTCTCTCTCCTTCTCTCTGCGCTCCCGCTCCCTACAGGGGGGGTGAGGTGGTAAGGAGGGGTGCAGCTGGGGTAGGGGAACAGTAACCCAAGGAAGATGAAGGCCTTGTTTGGTAATGAGCCACTTGGGGGGGGTGGTTGGCAGTTGGTAACTGGCACAGGGCCTTGTGCACCAAGTTTCCAAGTGACCCAAGTCGGAACCAAAAGGCACATGGAGGGGATGCTGCCTCAATAGCCCAGAAGTGGCAGCGGACCCCTCCCCGAGTGAGTGCTGCTCAGACACGGCCCGTCACTGTGGGTGGCAGTGCCAACACGTGACCAGCAGCCAGGCCAAGTAACCACAAACCCAAGTCCCTGACCACTCTGCTCCCCGACCTCAGCCTCGGATGGCTGCACACAGCAGATGACAGTGGAGATGATTAAGAATGAGGACTGTGAATACCAGAGGCGCACGTTTCGAATCCACCAGATGCTCTGCCGAGGAAGGAGGGACAATCTCCTCCTGTACCAGTCAGATCTGATTTGACGGTACACAGACACACAAAATAATAATAATAAAAAAAAAAGAATGAGGACTGTGATTGCTCCTTTGAAACATAGAGAGGCAAGAAATCTTCCTTCATAGGACTAACAATGGACGCCCAGAAGGACGTGCAACCCCCAAAACAGCAGGCAATGATATACATCTGTGGAGAGTGTCACACAGAAAATGAAATAAAATCCAGGGATCCAATCAGATGCCGCGAATGTGGATATAGAATAATGTACAAGAAAAGGACTAAAAGATTGGTGGTTTTTGATGCTCGGTGAAATGTGGATTCAAAGGACTGTCATCACTTGTATTTGCCTGTAATGTTTAGCTTTTGGATACCAAATTTCCATTATGAATCCAACTATCTATCTATGATTTAATTGTACTTGTTTTTATGAAGCATGATGTATTTAGTTGTCTGTTAATACTTTGTGTAAATTAAAAAAAAATACTTTGTGTAAATAAATTCTTGTCCAGTTGAAAAAAAAAAAATGAGGACTGTGTCCAGGCCCCTGTGGACACTCCACTCAGGCCCACCCCTGGAGTGGGGGTCCCATGACTGCGGTCTCAGAGTGGCAACGCCACAGTCAGCTCATGCGAAGACTCGCAGCAAGCAGAGTGTGTGGACCGGGAGCAGATGAAAGACCCCACAGCCACGCTACAGCCACCAGCTGACCCTGTCCTTGACCACACCCGGTGCCAGCCATGGGCCCTGAATGGGTAGGCCTGAAGACTGCAACGTCCTCGTGTACAGAGCAGAAGTGCAGACTGAGAGGGGGAATCCTCGCCCCCCAGGCCACCCGGACAGCTGTGATTAGATTGCTCTGAGGGCAACTCCGTGAGTGAAGAGATGGAGCAGAGGGTGGGCAGGACCAGCCCCAGGCGGCACTGCTGAGGGCACAACGGGAGACACTGCCGGTTATGGGACATGCGTGGTGCTGAGCCATGCATGTGCTATCGAAGCTGGTGGAGGTGAGCGACTAAGGATCTCAGTCTGGGTCTTGGGAGGATGCCACAAGGGGGGACCTCCCCAGGGAGGTGAAAGAGGGACCCAGGTGGGTCCCTGGAGGAGCCTGCGGGGCAAGACAACAGGACGACAGCCTGGTGGCAGCCTCATGGCGGGAGGAACTGGATGGGGCCCAGGCAGCCAGAACTCAATCAGCAATGTTACTATTTCCCAGCCGAGCCACTGACAAGGAAGACACTACAGTTTACAGCTATGCTTTGGGACACAGCAGAACTGCCCCTCAGGGATTCCAAGGCTGCTCACTCTTTGGAAGCAGGCTGCTGCTGCCTCCTGGTGGATCTGAACCACCAACCTCTTGGTGAGCATCCCAACACTTCAACTATTGGGCCACAGGGCTCCATCTGCTAATTATGCTGCTGTCACGTCAAGCCTGACTCTGGGGGTCCACCAAGTGCAGAGTGGAAGTGCGCCACAAGCTTTCTGTGACTGTGACCTTGCAGAAGTAACCACCCGCCCGGACTTCTGGGATGTCCCACAGTGCCTGTGAACTGCCAATCTTCAGGCTTGTTGTCAAACGGTAATAGTATCTGTTTGTGGCACTAAGGGACTCTCAAGTGTGGCAGGGAGGAGGACAACTGGTGGGGAAGAGACAGGAGAGTGGCCGTCACCAAGCAGGGCCCGGAGGCTGGGCTCTGACACACCCACAGAGGGGCAAGATGCCAGCAAGGAGCGGGGCCGTGGGGTACACAGGCAGCCCAAGGGAGGCGACACACGAGGCGTGGGGGCATCTTACTTCATCCGGATCTTGCGGGCCATGGCACGCAGCTCGTCCTCTCGTTCCTGCGGCAGAGATGACAGTGAGGCAATGGCCTGGCGTGCTCCCTGCCCGCTCACATGAGCCACCACGTACCTGCCGCTCATGCTCCTGCTGGATCATCTTCTCCTGGGCCGCCTTCTTATCCGCCTTGACTGTGGGGGAAGGACAGAGCATCAACTGTGCCCTCAGGAGCCCCCACCCCGCTGAGAGGCCTCCCGCTCGAGGGGTGCAGGACACCAGGACGGGTGCTGTACTGCCCCTGGGGGAGGGGAGCTGAGGAGGGGGCGAGGGGTGGGTAGCAAGAGACGTACACTGCCTGTTGAGGGCCTTCTGCATCCTCAGCTTCAATTTCTCCTGTGGCGTCAGCTTGGGCTGGGGAAGAGGAGAAGAGATGGAGGGGGTGGGTGTCCCGGAGTGCCCACAGCCCACCTCAACCAAGAGCTTGGTACTTTTGGGGTCATGGGAGGAGGGGGGCAGGCTTTGCACCCCTGCCACAAGGATGGGACACTTAAAGTCAGGAGAAAGGGGGCAGAGCTCCAGCCCTCTCCACCCGCTGGGGCTCGATCTCTTGGCCCACCCGGGCCCACCCCCTGCCGGCCCACCGGGCCCAGCTCTCGGGCACTGCTGCTGGCGGGAATTAGACGAGCGAGTTCCAAATTCTTACTGACTTTGGCAGCTCCTGTCTCTTTACCAGCGGCAGGCTCGGTCCTGGAGGGGAAGGACAGAGGACATGGTCAGGAGGAGGACAGAGGCCACTCAAACCCTGAGCACTGCCCCAGTGCAGACACAAGGCCAGAGTCCACCAGAGAGTGCCCACCAGAGAGATCTGGTCTCCTGTTAAGTCTCCTCCAAAATAAGGCTGTATCGACAGGACCCCCAGCGCAGGACCCGTGTGCCCTCAGGCCTCCTGGGGCCGGCCAGGCTCCCTTAACCCGAAGGCCTTGTGCTGACCCAGCTGCCTCCCTGGAAACCCATGCTCACTTTTTCAGCTTCTCGCCCACAGCAGGGGATGCTGCTGGCCGGGCCAGCTTCTCCCTCGGGGGCGACGGTGAGTGACTCTGGCTGCGGGTGCGGCTCCGGCTGCGGGAGCGGCTGTGGGTCAGGCTGCGGCTGTGGGATGGGCTGAGGGACCAGCTGCTGCGGCTGTGGCTGCTGCTATGGTGCCGGGGGCCTCGGGCACCCCGCCTGTACCGGTCCCCCGAGCGGGAGCGGCTCCTGGGGCAGGAGAGGGCAGTGAGGCTCAGCTGGAACCCCCTCAAGTTCATTCTTGCTGCTGTCTCACAGGAAGCCCCAAACTAGCTTTCTCAGGTGTCCCCTTGTAGGTACCAATGAACCCTCCTCATGCCTCAGGTGCTCCCAACCTGACTTTACCCCCAAATCAACTCAACCTCGAACTTCTCTGGAAAGTGAACGTGGGGAAAACGAGAGTGG